TTGCTTTTGGAAATCATTACTGGCCGGAATGCTATCGACGTTGACCATAGTCCGCCGTCGGTCGTTGACTGGGCGGTGCCGATGATTAAACACGGCGACTTCGATGGGTTGTGTGACCCACGTATCGGCTTGCCATTCGACCCGGCGGTGATTCGGTGTATGGCGATTCTGGCGGCGAGGTGTGTCCGGTCCACTGTGCAGAAGCGGCCGGATATGGCGGAGGTGGTGGAGTGCTTGACGGTAGCAAAGAAGAAGGTGAACGTACGGCCGATGTGGAGGAATCTAAGACGGAAGGAACGACACGTGGAGAATCTTCAGCCGTTGATTTTGAATTGGGATGAACCGGACGGTAACGATGAGCCGGTGAGGGCTACTCGAATTGGAAGCCGGCGGAACCGGAAAGTATCCAGTGTTTCGAGTACAGAGTATAAAATTAAGACGATTGGTTCGAGCCAGAGACGTGTGATTAGATCGAGATCAATGGGTTCGATGAACGATGTGAAATGGGGAGAAACTAATTCGAATATGGGCGATAACTATTACTCTTCGTTGGGTGGCCGGCGGAGGCACGGGGGAGTTGCAGTGAAAATGCCGACGTTGAAACTAAGCAAATCGAGGTCGGTGGGGGTTGCGGAGAATCCAAAATTTATGGAATTAAATCGGAGAGCGGCGGCGGAGAATCCAAAATTTGTGGAATTAAATCGGAGGGCGGCGGCGGCGGTGGAAATTGAAATGTCGAAATTGACGATAGAATTTGATGGTAAATATGAGGAAAAAATGCTTGGAAAACCATTGTTCCAAGAGTAGAGATCAAAACTGAAATGGGTTTTGTTTTGTTTTTTTTTTTAATTTATTTTTTGGGAATCTGAAATTAATGAAAGTGATTAATATTTTAATGGTTTTTTTTTTTATTTTTTTTTTATTTTTTTTGTAATTTAAAATTTGCATGTGGGGAGCTATATTAAAATAATCATTAAACGCTTTGTTTTCTTTTGATAAAACAAAAACAAAAAGAAGAAGAGGAAGAATGATGGATGTTTTGCACTTTTACAGAGCTGCCATGAATGATTATTCTTCACCTTTTTTTCTGGGTTTGATAATCTGCCAATGGCTTCCCAGAAAAAATAATATATGTGTATATATATATATATAAAGCCACGTGCAAATAAAAAAAGGCCCATAATATAATTGGGCTTTGAGAAGAGGTGGTGGTTAATGGGCCTGCAAAGTATGGCCCATGATATAATTGGGCTTTGAGAGGAGGTGGTGTTCATGGACTGCAAAATAAGGCTCATGATATAATTGGGCTTTGAGAGGATGTGGTGGTTCGTGGGCCTGCTAAATAAGGCCCATGATATAATTGGGCTTTGAGAGGTTGTTTGTGGTTCGTGGGCCTTCTAAATGAGGCCCATGATATAATTGGCTTTGAGAGGTTGTGGTTCGTGAGCCTGCAAAATAAGGCCCATGATATAATTGGGCTTCGAGAGGTGGTGGTGGTTAGTGGGCCTGCTAAATAGGGCCATGCTATAATTGGGCTTGGAGAGGTGGTTGTGGTTTGTGGGCCTGCTAAATAAGGCCCATGGTATAATTGGGCTTGGAGAGGTAGTGGTGGTTCGTGGGCCTGCTAAATAAGGCCCATGATATAATTAGGCTTTGAGAGGTTGTGGTGGTTCGTGGGTCTGATAAATAAGGCCCATTATATAATTGGGCTTTGAGAGGAGGTGGTGGTTCCTGGGCCGTCTAAATATGACCCATGATATAATTGGGCTTTTGAGAGGAGGTCCTGTTCTTGGGCTGCTAAATAAGGCCCATGATATAGTTGGGCTTTGATAGGTGGTGGTGGTTTGTGGGCCTGATAAATAAGGCCCATCATATTATTGGGCTTTGAGAGGTGGTGTGGTTCGTGGGCGTCTAAATAAGGCCCATGATATAATTGGGCTTTGAGAGGAGGTGGTGGTGTTCATGGGCCTGATAAATTAGGCTTATGATATAATTGGGCTTTGAGAGGTGGTTGTTCATGGGCCTGTTAAACAAGGCCCATGATATATGTCCAAATAAAAGAATAAAAGAATAACGAAAACCAATTTATAATGGCCTAAGCCATGGCCAGCAGATAATAGCATGTTAAATATCGCTATCAGCCCTGATAGCCCTATTAGTGGTGGATTTAAGCTGTTATAAATAGTATAATCAAACACGACGTTGTGCCAGCGAAGACGCGGGCCACCAAGGGAGATGGATCGTAAGATCTCACATTGATTTGGAAAGACGAACAAAACATTATCTATAAATGCACCGTTTTAAAGTTGTGAGACTGATGACTATACGTAACGGGTCAAGACAGACAATATCGACTTAGACTGCGACTGCTGCCGAAAAAACAAAAAATGTTAAGCTACATTCGTCAAAGGCAGGTCGTTTTTGTGGGTATTCCCCTTTCTTATCCTGTCTCTTCTCACTTTATAAATTATATATTTTATTTATTGTTTTTGTTTTAATCTAATCTCCGCTGAAAAGCGTTTTCTTTCTTAACTTTTTTGTTTTGGGTTTGTGGAAAATGGAATTCGACGATGAAATAATTGAAGAGATGCCCATCGCCCACCGCTACCATTCCTTCACTAACTCACCTTCCATTCCGCCCAATTCCGGCGAACCCCCATCGCCGACGAGGAAGAGCTGCGGCGGAGACAGAATTAGATACAGAGAGTGTTTGAAGAATCACGCCATCGGAATCGGCGGGCACGCGGTGGATGGTTGTGGGGAGTTCATGCCAGCGGGAGAGGAAGGGAGTATAGACGCACTGAAATGCGCCGCCTGTAACTGTCACCGGAATTTTCACCGGAAAGAAACCGATTCAGATCAGGGACATTACTATTACTACCAGCAGCATCAGCAGCAACCGTTTTGTTCTTATCGTGGGCCCCCACACCCGTCTGCTTACGTGTACTTGACCGGGACCCCAATTCAGCAGAGGCCGCCATTGGCGTTGCCGGCGGCAGCGGTGTCAGAGAGAGAGGAGGAGGACGTTTCAAATCCAAGCAGTAGCGGCGGCGGCGGCGGAGGAGGAGGAAGTGGGTTGCTGAAGAAAAGATGAGGCTGACGTGGAACGGCTCTGTACGGAAACCGGAGTCCGGCGGCAGATTCGTAAGGCATGGATGCACAATAACAAAGCATAGTTTGGGGAAGAAACCCTAAAATTAGGGCTTATTATTGTTCTTCATAATTATGTTCTTTGTCGGGGAATGCCCAATTTGGGTCATCTAAAACTTGGTTACATTTTGTTTCCAATAATAATAAAAAGGGAAAACAACGTGGTCAGCATGCAAGCCCATCCTTTCGTCTTTTTGGTTCGAGAGACATAATTTAGTGATTAAAGTATGTCTACTTCTTCGAAACGTTGCGTCGTTTTTTCTCCCAATTCGAATCTCTAACATTTTAATTAAATGGGATCTCGGAAGAAATTTGGAGGATTGTAAACAATGGGGAGAGGAGTGTGGGGACAATGAAGTGAAGGTTGATATGATTTTTGGTTTGGGGGGTTTAAGGTGCAAGAACATTGAAACATGTGAGGCTTTTTTGTTGAAACAAGAAAACACCTATTTGCTTGGCTTTGTGCTTATTGCTATCTGACAATACAGCTCAGATTTTAAGATATTTTTGTCATGTCTTTGCCTTCTTTTTCTTCCCTATTTCGATTCCTTCAATATTCAGCTTTGTTTCAATAGTAAGATCCTTTTCCGACCGCTAGACACTCTTTGATTCTCTTTGGACTTCCTCTCGAAGTTTTAAAACGTGTTTGGTAGGTAGAGGTTTACACACCTTAGAAACAATGTTTGGGCTTCCCCACTCCAACCAATGTGGGATCTCACAATCCCACTCCTTTCGAGACCAGGGTCATCGTACTTGTTTCTCTCTCCAATTGATGTGGGACCCCAATCCACTCCTTTTAAGGCCTAGTGCTCGCTAGCACACTGCTTGGTGTCCACCCCCCTTTGGGGCTCAGCCTCCTTGCTAGCACACCGCCTGATGTCTAGCTCTGATACAATTTGTAACAATTCAAGCCTACTGCTAGGAAATATTATTCTTTGAGCTTTTCCTTCCGACATGATATCTCACAAATAGGATGCATGTTCATTCAAACATAGATTATTTGATGAAGTTAAAATATACTATTCCCTGACCTTATTGAAGGAGGTAAAGCAGCTTCGCTCCTCTCTCTCTCGGTCCAGTTGCTTCGCTCCTCTCCGTCTTAGCCGAGCTAGCTTTATTTCATTCCCTGATTTTGAAAACTATAAAAGTAGTTTTTTGATTTTGGGTTGTGTCTAACCGTTCAAGATGTTTAAAAATGAAACTCACGGTAGAAAGTGAAAAAACACAAACTTTTGATGATCATAACATAAATATACTTAAGCTAACCTACTTTCCTAATAAAAAAAACTAATAAGAGCATTGAAGAAAAATTACTGATAATGGTTAATACAAAAACCATGGGATAATGTAAATGAATGAGGAATGAACAGCCAAACTGAAGAACAACACAGGTCCAGAAGAATTCAATCATAAAGACAGCAGAGTTCAATCATGGGATAATACTATTTACCATTCAATTCAATCAACAAACTTGTATAAGAGTTCAAACAATTTCCAACCTTTCATAAAGACAGCAGAGTACTAGCAAGTATTTCATAATTTGTATTTCTACGGTAGTTGTTTGTATATCATCAAAATCTTGGCTTACTACAATATGCTTACTTACCGTTGGTGACGAGATAAGAGCTGATGTGTTCCAGAATGAGTTTTAGGCAGCACGCGGACTGTTGGGCTGTAGGGTTTCTTCAAGAATTTTCACTGCACCATCATAATTTACAAACCCCAAAAACCAGAATTCATGATTGTCAATGGAGATAACCTGTATGAATTTTTCAGGCGGTTTTGCTTTGCTTGTTGATGGGTTCACTGCTCTAAGGTGATGTAGCGGGATCATCACCTATTATAACCAGAGAAGATACAGGGAACGTTCAGTCAATTTCTTATTAATAGAGCCTCCACAACGTATATGATACAGAAGCTATAACGGTCCAAGCTCACGCTAGCAGATATTATCCTCTTTGGATTTTCCCTTTCGGGCTTCCCCTCAAGGTTTTTAAAACACGTCTACTAGAGAAAAGTTTCTTATAAAGAATGTTTTGTTCTCCTCTTCAACCGACGTAGGATCTGAGAGAAGCATAAAAACATGGGTAATACAGGAGCAAGTAATGGTCATGGTCCAAGCATAGAAGAAGAGGATGCAACTCCAAATCAACGGTTGCATAGAGACTTACAAAAGCCATAATCTACGATAGGTAAATGAACACAACGTATGTGAAACTCTTGCATCATCAAATCTTGAAAAGAAAAATATGTATATATGAAGCTACCGATCAGCTTGGCAATCTCTTGACCAAGATGATCATAATCAAATTATATTTGGAGTAAAAGAACAATAACACATGAGTCACTTTTGACTACACCTTCGAAGCTAGCAATTTCTTTGTTCGACACTTGAGAATTCTATTGACATGGCTAAATTAATAGCATGACTTTGCTACCATGTTAGGAATCACAGATCTCTACAATGATATGATATCGTCCGATTTGATCATAAGCTCTCATGGATTTACTTCAGACTTCCCTAAAAGACCTCATATCAATGGAGATGTATTCCTTACTTATAAACCCACGATCATTCCCTAAATTAGCCAATGTGTGACTCCCTGCCGATACTCAACACCATTCATCTCATCTTCTTCACTTAAATCAACATCAGTTCAACCAAATTTTTTAGTATCATAAATACCATAAAGGACAAAATCCATTCGAACAAAATAAAACTATGAAATCTGGTTCGAACTGCAGCCTAAGATCACTATAACAGTAAGCTTAATAATTCAATTTTACCTTGTAAAGGCACCATCGGGTCTCCTCATCCACTTTGTATGAAAGAGGACTGTCACTGCAAAAGGCAATTTTAGCCGTTGTTATGTACAGAGTTCCCATCACAGGACCGGCAGATGTGGACAGGTAGCATGCATATGCCTTCAGAAGTTTCTCTTCAGATGTATTCTCAAACGTTTGCCGGAAGATCTTCTCATAACCACCTTCTGCAAGAACTTTAGTCCCCTGAGCAATTCTTCCCACAGCAGCTTCAGTAAAACTAGGCCCTGTTTTCACTGGTTTGAAACAAGACTGTTTTAGATTACTGGTTAACAGAAGCTGCTAAAAAGTTTCAAAACCAACAATGAAGAACGTTCTTGCAGTCATTGTTAGGAACCACAAACATCCACAATGGTATGATATTGTCTATTTTGAGTATAAGCTCTCGTGGCCTTGTTTTTGGTTCCCCAAAAGGCCTTATACCAATGAAGATTTATTTCTTATTTATAAATTCATGATCAACCCCTTAATTAATCGACCTGAGACTCATCTTACAACAGTCACTACCCCGAACCCTAGTTTCAATTGAATACGTGCAGAGATAGCTTACAGTACCAGATAAAACACAACCCAAAATTCAATTTCAGGTAAAAAAGAACACAGCTCATTCAATGGAAAAGCACAATACATACAAGAACAGAAGAGAAATGGTTCTTGGGAAATGATTTCTGCCAGGATCATGAGCAGAGGAATCATAGATTTTCAAGGATCTGTGTTTAAATAGACATGGCATATGTTCCAATCATAATCCGCAAACAATTGAAGTTAGATTCAAATTAATCAATAGTGATGAGAAGGTAAGAACGCGTTGATTATGATAAAGAATTGAAGGGCTTACAGTGCTGCCACATGTTCCCAGCAAGATCCTCGGCTTTCTTGGTTGCCTCAACAGCCCTCTTCCCCCATCTTACAAGCATCACCTTCACGGAATCCATCGTATCTGATCATTCATCAAACACGCACATCCAATGAACAAGAATTTCACTAATTCCAAACGCTCAACAAAAATTGACATACTCTTAGCAGAAGAAGGATTTCCCTGGGCTGGAGATGCAGAAACATACGGATTCGCATCATTCGGCAGAGTGGTGGCATTTCCCTCAGAGATCGGAGCACGAGCCTCGCTGTTCGGCTGAGTTTGAGGTGGAGGCGGATGTGGATGTTGGGGTTGGGAGCCCATGGGGACGGTAGTCCAATCCTCCGGCATCGGCGGCGGAGCAACGTCGCTAGGGTTAAGCTTGGGATGGGTAGAAGAGTCGGTGGAGCGGTGATCGGTGACTGCATCCGCATTGTCGGAGTGCGATGGGTTTGGAGCGACGGGATTGGATGGATCCGGCTGAGGCTGAGGCTGAGGCTGAGACTGAGCCATTTGGGAACGGTTGAGGGTAGTTGGAAGCGATCTCCGGCGCCGGTGTTTTTATTCGTTTCTTGAAGCCTAAATGCTTGATTTGGTTTATAGTTTATAGTTTCTGCCGCTTCTTAATTCTCTCATATTTTTCCAGTGAATAATTTAAAATAATATTAATATTAAAAAAAAAAAAAAGACAAATAA